TATATATATATATATAGATGCATATATAGATTCCTAAATCTATATATATATATATATATATATATAGATGCATATATAGATTCCTAAATTTTTATTTTTATGAGTAGTAATGGATGACGAAGCAATGCTTACACGAATCTAGACAAAGAAAAAGCGTCAAAATAATTATTTGCAGTTTCTCCGAAGCCTTCAGGAGACCCTAAGTCAGCAGTTGCATGCACGTACACCGCAGCTGTCTTGTGGGGTGCTAACAACGCCAGGCCCAGGTTCAAAGACAGAGTCCTGCAAAAAATAAATAAATAAATAAATAAATAAAATATATATGTGTGAATGTATATATATAGATATAAGTAGATGTAATATACATATACTGGATGTACATTTATAAATATATATATATATATATATATTATATTGTATATACATTTATACACATATATATTTATATTTATTATGTATATTATATATAAACCAATTACTACTATAATTGCCAAACGATAATAGTACATACACCAACAGCAGCAGCTGCAACAGCAGCAGCAGCAGCAGCAACAGCAGCAGCAGCAGCAACAGCAGCAGCAGCAACAGCAGCAGCAGGGTGTGCATGCTACCCTAAGGAGTCATCTCCAAAGAAAACGAGCGGCTCGACTGGGATACCCCCATTGAAGAAGTTATATCCGATTTCTACTTCTTGAGGTTCGCTGTTTAGCTGCTGCTGCTGCTGCTGCTGCTGCTTCTGCTGCTGCTGCTGTTGGCGGCGCTTCCTTCTCAGCTTGCGTGGATAATTGAAACGAACAGCGAGTCTCCTCATCAGAGACAGCAGGCGGCCTGCTTTACTCAGAACTCTAAAGGGCTCTGCTTCTTCTTTTTCGTCTGTGTCTTGCTGCTGCCTAGCTATCAACGATGCAGCAATCTCTAAACCCTCGTTCTGAAGGGCTTCTTCGCTGTCTCCTTCTATTCCTATATCTGAAGAATATAAAGCAGCAGCAGCAGCAGCAGCAGAAGCAGGAGCAACAGCACCTCCTCCTCCTCCTATACCTGCTGCTGCTGCTGCTGCTCCTGCTGCTGCTCCTGCTGCTGCTCCACCAGACCGCCGTACAGACAACCTTCCAGCTTCTTCATCGCTCTCGTGCTCTTTAAGAGAACTAGAAAAGATAGGAGGAGACAGAATATAACGATAGGCTGGAGACAAAGCCTCGCGTAAACAACTCGCAGCAGAAGAAGCCCCGAAATTCAGCTGGTGCTCCCGAATCAATAACTCAGCATACACACAAGATGCCTGCACACAAACCCAAAACCCTAAACCCTAAACCCTAAACCCTAAAAAACCCTAAACCCTAAAAAACCCTAAACCCTAAACCCTAAAAAACCCTAAACCCTAAACCCTAAACCCTAAACCGGAAACCCTAAGCCTTAATCCCACAGCCGAAGACCCTAAACCGTAGACCGAAAACCCTAAACCCTAAACCCTAAACCCTAAACCCTCAGGAGTACCTTTTCTCCTGCTCTTGCATCTGAAGAAAAGGTTGAGAGGAAAGGAAGAGAGTTGCGTCTGCCAAACGTCCAGCGGCGACCCGCAGCAAAACAACTTTGTTTGTCTGACCTAAGGCAGTGCATCGAGAGCACCTGCAGCAGCAGCAGCAGCAGCAGCAGCAGCAGCAGCAGCAGAAGCAGAAAGATATGCATAACGATATCAGACAAAGCAATACAAGCAGCAATAGCAGCAATAACTACAACAGCAACAGCAACAGCAGCAACGGCAACTTGTGAGACTCTTCTGCTTCAACCACCAATGCATGCAGCAGCAAAAGCAGCAGCAACTGCAGCAGCAACAGCAGCAGCAGCGTTATGAAACTGCCTATCGGGTCAGCACTCTATCGGCCGACCTTGCCTACTGCCTAAAATAAGCAAACCCTAAACCCTAAACCTAACCCTAAACCCTAAACCCTAAGCCTTGTCCTTGATCGTTAACCCCGGAACTTAAACCCCAGACACCAAACCCCAAACAATAAACCCTAAACCCTAGCCCTCAATCCTATCTCATGAATCCCTAGCCTTAAGTCCTAAACGTTGAATTCTAAACCCTAGGCTCTAAACCCTAAACCCTAAACCCTAAACCCTAACCTGTTTAGTAGCGGTGACGAGTAGTTCGTTGACTTGAGCATCGAATGCCTTTGAACGGAATATGAATCGAAGCATTAATAAAGAAGAAGGACGCGAGGAGAGAAGCAAGGGTGGCAGTGGCCAGGGCCTTCTATCTACTCTTGCTGCAGCAGCAGCAGCAGCAGCAGCAGCAGCAGCTGCTGCTGCTGCTGCACAAGAAGATGTATTAGAAACACTCTCCTGAGGTGTATCGGCAACTGGATTTTCATTTACTCTCTCTACAGGGATCCCCTCATCCGATACAACATGAGGCCCTAAAGAAACTAAAAACAATAAATGCGCCATCCCTAAAGCAGCAGCAGCAGCAGCAGCAGCAGCAGCAGAAGCATAGATGAGGAGTCAATAAAGATACTGCGCATTGCGAATGCAGCTCGAAGAGACAAAACAGCAGCAACACAAACAGAAACAGATATAACGGCGGCAGCAACAGCAGCAGCTGCTCCCGTCGCCATAACAGCAGCAGCAGCAGGTGCTGCAGCAACAGAAGCAACAGCAGCAGTCGGTGCCTAGCATCAAATATGTATATATAAAGAGCGTCGCAGCAGAGTTCTGTACTTCCCGCCCAAACCCGTGACACTCCATCTTAAACTCTAAACCCTAGACCTTCTCTTGCATCTTCAGAGACGGTGGCTAAGGAGCCCTTCTCCCTCAAACCCTAAACCCTAAACCCTAAACCCTAAACCCTAAACCCTAAACCCTAAACCCTAAACCCTAGCGGTACCTGGATAAGGCGTTGCGAAGGGGAGTTTGCGGGAGTCGAGGTTCCTCGAACGCAGCGTTGGGAGGCGAAGGCCAGAGAAAGACAAAAGAAAGCCGTCTACAGACACAGCAGATAAAACTGACAAGAAGCGTGCACCGACGCGCTTCCATACATCCATTACTAAAGGAACACCCTGCTGCTGCTGCTGCTGTTGCTGCTGCTGCTGCTGTTGCTGCTGCTGCTGCTGGTGCTGCTGGTGCTGCTGCTGGTGCTGGTGCTGGTGGTGAGGCTGCTGCTGCTGTGGCTGTGACGCAGGAGACCCGTGAACACCCTGCTGCTGCTGCTGCTGCTGCTGCTGCGGGCTGCTGCCGCTGCTGCTGCTGCTGCTGCTGCTGCTGCTGTTACTGTTGCTGCTGCTTATATCAGCAGCCTCAGCTACTGCTGCTTCTACATATACTGGCTTTACAGCAGGATGTAGAGGGGCTTTGTTTGCCGCTGTTGCAGGTAAGAGAGAAGCTGCTGCTGCTGCGGTGTACATACAGAGCGAGTCATACATCTCTCGCAGATTCTGCTGCAGCTGCGGTGCTGCTTCCAGCCTAGCGATTGGAAGGGGAGGCAGCGAGAAAGGCACTTGCTGCTGCTGCTGCTGCTGCTGCTGCTCTTCTTCCTCATCTTCTTCTGTTTGCTGCTGCTCTGCAAAGGCCCCGGGAGCTCCTAAACCTCTTGCTGCTGCTGCTGCTGCTGCACCTCTGTTTAAAGCAGACGAGCTCCCTAGAGGTACAGATAAAAGCGAAGAAAAAAATTCATTGCTTCCACCACTGAGGCCTGTGGGGCCCGCTGCTGCTGCTGCTGCTGCTGCTGCTCTTGTTGCTGCAGCAACAGCAGCAACACGCGCAGCAATCCGCTCCGACGTTACCTCTGATATGCTGCTGCTGCTGCTGTGAAATGCATCAGCAGCAGCAACCAAACCCTTATCGGCTAAACGTAGACGAGAGCCTCCTTTAAAACCCTCAAGAAGAGAGTTAGGCCGAGGGTCTGCTTCTAGTGTGGGGAAGGAGCGATGAGAGAAGCTAAACCCTTGCTGCTGCAGTTGCTGCTTGTGCTGCTGCTCCAGCAGCAGCTGATGCTGCTTCTGCAGCTGCCGTTGCAGCTGACGTCTTTGCTGCTGCTGCTCTTGCTGCTCTAATTCTTCTTGCTGCTGCTGAGAAACAAAATCGGGAGGGTCTTCAAACACAAATAGCTCATCATCTTCTTCATCAGAAACCTCAGCAGCAGCAAACCAGGGGCCCCAGGGGGGCCCCCATAGGGTTGTTTGCTGCAGCGGCAGCAGCAGCAGCACCAGCAGCAGTAGCAGCAGCTGCAGCAGCAGCACCACCACCAACTTGGATCGACGTGCTGCACCTGGGGGCCCCCTGGGGGCCCCCCTGGGGGCCCCCCTTACATTCATAACCTTAACAAAACCCTTTAATATAAAAGTAATAATAAACAGCAGCAAAAGATATGTTAGAAATGTTTAAGAAATTTGTTTTGTATGCATTTATATTAAAATATATTCTCTTTGAGACGCTCGTCATAGACATATGCAATAAATATATATATAACTATAGACATCCATACAGTATA